AGGATATGGAGCAGCATATTGAGGTCACAACTTGCTTTCCCAGCTCTAGGTAGAGCACAGCCTGTTAGCTTATTGGCTCTTTTGTTAACATTTGAAGACATGCCCTCTTAGAAGAAGAATATGCCAATGTTTTCTTTTCTCCTTAAATGTAAATCTATTCTGAGCATTCGCATACAACAAAACCCAAGTTATTTAGATTCCCGTCTGGATTCCCCAAGGAAGAAACAAGGATTGACAGTGTTTTCTCCATGGCGAAGTGTCAAGTAAAGATTTTAAATGCTCAGAATTCATTTTTACCACCTTTAAAAAATAATACCACTGTTTCATTTTGAATAGGTAATATTTACCCCATGGTTAAAAAGTATAAAAAATGCGTTAGAATGCCTTGTGTCTGTCTGGTTCCTGTCCCCTTCTCTGGGAAAGTAAACATTATTAGTGCTTTTATATGTATTACGTAATAAGTCTATTATGCATTTATAAGAAAATATGGCCTTATGTTCCCATCTTTATGCAATGGGGGGAGTGTTTTCTACAGTGTTCTTTAGTGTGCTTTTTTTTGTTTACCACAGAGAGCCTCTCGGTTCTGTGTTACAGCTGTGGCGTTCCACTGTCTGAGCATACAGTAATTTATTTAACCAGTCCTCTACTTGTGGACACTCGGGTTGTTTCTTTGATCTTTTCTTTGCAAACAAGTTTGAATGAAAACCTCTTTATAGATGTTACTTTACTCCCATGTAATATTCATAGCAGGATAAATTCTGGCTTCCCAGCCATGAATTCAGTAGTTTGTGCTGGGGTGTGTTAGAGAAGCCTCCTCACAAAGCTTTTATGTTTTCAGACATCAATTTGAGTAAATGAAATTATGCAGAGAGACATGACCAGAATCGTTTGAAATGGTTGGATGAGATTCTCAGGCAGCATTTAGCACTGCATCGTGATGGACACATCTGGCGATGCTGATCACGACCTGAGGCAGGCGGTGTCTGTGCTCTAGGCATGATGCGTGGGTTTTCCCGGCTGGGCACAGGAGCTGGTGCTGATGAATGGGCCTCCCCCACTCTTGAAATTCCTGTTCTCATACCACTTGAAAGCCTGAGAGAAAAAGAGGCTGGTATATGGACAGCTAGGGTTTTACTGAAGCCGTCTCTTTCCCTCCCCTACTTCTCCGGTTAGATGGAGTTAACACCCTGACACTGAACTGCACCCGGTGAGTCAGCAGCCAGGGAAAGTGCAAACGGAAGAGCAGCTAAGAGCCGGGACGCTTGCGTGACTAGAATGCAGTCACACTTGGGCAGTTGATGTTTTGCTGGTGCAAAAATGGCTCAAGTTCATTCTAGAATGATCTTACTAGCACTGTTTAGTTCTTTTTAAAGCAGTTCTTTTTTAATAAACGATTTTTATTGATTTTTAAAAAATTTTTTGTTTTGAGAGAGGAGGGGAGAGGGGGACAGAGAGAGAGAGAAACATTGATGGGAGAGTGAAACATCCCTCGGCTGCCTCCCACAAGCCCCCTTTTGGGGATCTAGCCCACATCCCCAGGCGTGTGCCCTGACTGGGAATTGAACCAGCAGCCTTTGGGTGCGCAGGAGGATGCCCAACCAATGGAGCCCCACCGGCCAGGGCTATCTTAGTAGCATTCTTAATATAGTTTTGGGTCCTAGAAAATTTTCTAAACTTTCAAAGAATACATATGCTGTGACATATTTAACAGTTTTAAAATATGGGAATACAGTAGGACTTTTATAAACACAAGTGCCATTTTGTTACCTAAAACTAAAGCAACCAAAATTTTTATTTATTTATTTATTTATTTATTTATTTATTTATTTATTTATTTATTTATTATATATTTATTTATTAAATATATTTTTATTGATTTCAGAGAGAGGAAGGGAGAGGGAGAGAGAGAGAGATAGAAACATCAATGATTAGAGAGTCATTGATCGGCTGCCTCCTGCACGCCCCCAACTGGGGATCAAGCCCGAAACCCGGGCATGTGCCCTGACCAGGAATCGAACCCCTATCTCCTGGATCCTAGTTCGATGCTCAACTGCTGAGCCATGCCCAGCTGGACAGCAACCAAAATTTAATAATGGAAATGTACAGATAACAATCTCTCTTGAGAACCTAAGGCATCTGAATCCTCAGAAACAAGCTAGGGACCAGCTCCCACTGTTGCACTGACATATCTGAGAAACTTAAGAGCTTGTCTCAGGAATTTGAAGCCACCACGGCATACAAAAAGCCTGTAACAACATTTATCGAATTTAAATAAAAATCAGTAAAAAATCATAATGGATCCAGCAGCCTAATAAGGAGTCTGCAATACCAACTCAATTTTTAAGCATTTAAACAATATGACAGATTCATAACATGATATTGAAAATAACATATATTATTTTTAAATACACTTTATATCCATTGAGAAGCAAGGAATTTACCCAGATAATATTATTAGCAAATACTTTCAGTAGAGTAGTAAGTTAAATTTTTAAAAATATTGAACCAAACATAAGTACTTAACTGTGGCCTGACTTTGGTATAAGAGATAAATTGAAGGAAAATATAAAATTTGGTGCTATAGAGGAAGTACCTGCATTCTCAACCTGATTGTGAAAAACAATGTTTAATATGTTAATTTACATTTAATTCAATATATTATATTTTCTCATGAAATAACTTACTAGAACTTACTACTGAATACTAAAATTCATCTGAAAGATAAGAATACTAAAGGATGTTTTCTCCAAACTGTTAATATGAAACATTTACCTCTCAGATTTTGTAAATAATTATAACCTAACAGTTTTAAAACTTTGATATTATGTTAAATTATAACATTGATTAGCATATAAATTCTAGAAAGGAAATCAGATGTTGTTAAGGATTCAAGAAATGATGAATGCAAAGCAGTGTATCAATAAATAGCAGATATTTCAATGAGTATTGGTAGGACATACAGTAATGATATCGACCAGGAGAATAAACTTATATCTACATATGTTGTAGTAAATTCTGAATGGTCAAAGAGTTAAAAATGTTTGTTGCTGTTCTGTTTTGTTTTGTTTTGTTTTTGTATAAAGTATATAAAACAATTTAAAACAGATGTTTACAGGTAGGTTTACTGAAATGAAGAGTTCTCAGATAGTGGGCTTGAATGTATTAACGTAACATTTCATCTAGATTAGTGCATACATATTTAGTTTTAGTAAGAAATAGTTACTTTTCCACCTCATCCCCACTTTCCAAAATGTGTGGGAACAGAAGAGACTTGGCTTCAGAGGCCTAGGTCCTGACCTTGACTTGGTCCCATAAAAGCTGTCTACACCTGGGCAAGGCCCTTCATATCCTTGAATGTCACCTTCCCTACCAAGGGTGACTGGGAGGATTGAAAGAGAGGACAGTGAGACACTATGAACAGTAAAACGCTCTATAATTATTATATGTGTAGGAAAAATATAACTTCTAAGAACACTTTAGGAAATGACATGAAATGAAGGAACACTAAGCTCAGATATTTTGACATATTGTAAAATATTTAGATTATTTTTCATTAATATTGTGACTCAATAAGGTTGTTCTTCCTTCAGGACTTTAATATTATGACTATTAAGTTAGTTACCTTCTCCATCTGCTGGGGAATTGGCAAGTATTGACAGACAGCCATTAACGATTACTAATAAAAGAGTAGTGGGTAAACACTTTCCCCCTCTCCTCAAGTAATTTTAAGACAATAGATATTTTAGTCATTTCAGAACTGAGAATTATCAAGCATCAGTACAAATACGAGTTAACCATGGAAAGCAGCCATAGTGAATGAAAGCTTTTGTTGTAACTTAAAGAGTATATTGCTTGTATTTACCACTGGTTCTTGGAACATGAATACTGAGGTTTCTTTGTTTATTTTCCTTTAAGAAGTAACTAGTTTTCCTTCTCCTGAAAAATTAGAGAAAATAACCTCTGTTTATAAAATTGCCTTAGGTTTGTTTGTTACCACAGAATGTGGGTGCCAGAGGGAATGTCTGTGAGAACAAGGAAACATTTGGGGCTTTTTTTTTTAGTTTCTTGTAGCTTTTTATTTTTCATATTTAGATTTGTTTTGATTACTTGGCCTACTTATCTCAAGAAGCTAAGCAGCTTGTTTCCTGCTTTTCTGATTCTGTTTGATATTTAAAGTGACTAAGACATTGGGAATGGTTCCAAAACTGCGCAGATTTTCATTTAAAATAGAGCAGAGTAATTCCCAGGGCATAGAAAGTGAATAATCACATGGCATGGCCTCTCAGATGGATCTGAGTATCAGCATGTGCTTTAAAAAAAGATATTTAGAGCTATTATTTCTACTTGGAAAGGAAAAACCAGCAAAGCTCATGTTCGATAGAAAAGGGAGTAGTAAAGTCAAGAGTATAGTACTCTTAACAATGAACTTAAATAAGGGTCGAAATGTGAGTCGGTTTTCAGCATACACGGTGATTTATTGGAGATTAGGAAATGACTCATCTGCACTGTGAATCTTTGTAATGACCAGGCCGTCAGCAGGGAAAGGGTGGGAAGATCGTAAAAAACGTGTAGGAGGAGGGAAGGGCATTTAAAGTCCAGTAATTTGTGTTTTGCTTTCAGCATATGTGACCAGAATATAGCTTCACGTCGTCGTGACAGCCGGGCTTCGGTACCAGTTTATCTAGGGCGCTAGAAGCTGTGAAATCCACATGTTCTGCACACAACTTTTTTTTTCCGGGTTGCTAAACCTGCTTGTTTCATGTAGATAATCCTCTGCCCCATGAAATCTCTTAAAGTCAGAATGAAAGCCATTGTCTGTTTGTGAGTTCCAGGCATCCACATACGTGATTAATTCCAGTCCTCATTCATATGCTTTCCTTATGTAAACATAACTTAAATGCATTTCTGTGGCTTATCTAGTTGTGTTTGACGGCACATGGTGATTATTATAGAAATCACAATCATATCTTTTACCACCTGTTTATTAATTCCTTTTGCAGTTGAAAACGGCAGACAGAAGACTCCCAGAAGTTTATGCATCCAAACACAGACATCTCCAGATGCGCTGTCCTCTGAGAAAACACTTGAATTGGCTCAGTATAAAACGAAATGTGAAAACCAAAGTCGCTTCATCCTGCGCCTTAAGCAGCTTGTTTCCTGCGGTAATACCAAGTTCGAAGCACTGACAGTCGTGATTCAGCACCTACTGTCGGAGGTAAGGCCGTGTACCCCCCAGGCCGTCCTTTCCCTGAGGTGGGGGAGCAGTGTTCATGGGTTGTTTCATAATATCTTTATGTTGATGATTGCTAAGATCAGATGTAATTCATCCAGTTACGCTTTTGCCACTCACTTGATCCCTGAGTCACTCTCCAGAAATTTGGGATGAAAACATTTCTAGTGGATAGTCTTCTGTAGATAGCTTCTCAGACCAACAATTGCGAAAAGATATTTGCCTGTTTCACCTCTTTGCACCTCCGGACTATACAGTAAATCATTGATTTTATGGACCTTGATTTAACAGACCTCAATTTAACGGACCTCAGATTTAACAGACAAAATTTCCAGTCTGTAGGTCATATGTGAAAATTAACATCCTGTTATTTTTAGAGTGCTGTTAACCAAGATTTGCTTGTCATAAAATTAACAGGTTATTTTTTGTTATTAATTCACTGGTATTTTTAACAAATTTTAGCAAATAGGCCATATGTTGGAAAAAACACTAGTAATTTGGCTGACATAAATAAATATTACATATCTACAACTAGAGTCTACATATGTAAATCCAAGAGTTACCAGTAAACAATGTTTGGCGAGTGATTAGCATGTGATCACACCGATTGGTTCTGTTGTCACCTGGCGTGACTTTCTGCAGCGGTTTGAAAGCTTGTGGCCGATGTTCCCACATGTGCTAAGCCATGCCCCAGCCGTGTGAATTTGTTTACTCAAGGTGACTGGTGAATGCACGTATTTACTAGACCTATTAAGTATAAATTTAAAATTACAGTAACACAAATAGAAAACTTTTTTGTTAAATTAAACTTTCCATACATACTTAATTTTAATTACACAAATGTGTCTACGTAAGTAAAAACAGATAAACTAATTTGTCAATTTTTTAACATACACATCTGGAAAACCTACTTTATTATATAAGGACTTTCGGCTTCAACGGCTCCCCCTTACCCAAATTAGTCCCTTATATGGAGGTTTTACTGTATTAGCATTGACATTTTTTCACTTAATTTTTTGTCTAACTCTGTGTACCTTTCCATATCACACTTAGTTTAATGGTTGGGAAGATGAGGTTGACTATATTTATAGGTCAAAGAACACTTTGGAGGTAACTCCCAGTATTGGTCTGGGGACTCTTTAGAATTTCCATCCATTCCTAAAATAGTTTGTGGTACAACAAACGCAAAACAGATTTTCTGTGCTTACTTACTCTTTCCGGATACGCTACAGAAATGTCAATTCAAGAACTAATTAAAATTCATTGAGAAAAACATATGCTGTGAACATATGCTTCTGGCATAGCAACAAAAACTACTATCTAAGTGGAAACACTGTGGTGAGAATATAACTTGAGCTCTCTAGATATTTTTTAATGACAGTTTTAAAGATGGGTATGCATGCATGACATCTCAAGAAGAAAACAGTTCAATTTGCTTGTCCTATAGTTCAGTTCAATCCAACAAACCTGTATTTATTTCCTACAAAGGCTTCTATGATGTGTTTGCCTGTAGGGAGCAGGGTAGACAGAGGTGAATGAAACTTGGTCTGTGCCTTTGACAAGCTACCAAGCTCGTAGACAGTTTAGATCAGTATTTGATGTACATTTTACAGGTTTGTTCAAATATATTTTTTGAGAGAGAGATGGAGACATTTGCCTAGCTTTTAAAATATAGTAGTATACAGTATTTTTGTTTTTCTCTAATATGTAAGGAAGGAATTCTAGAGCTTATTTATATAACAAAGTGTGCTAAATTGGAAACCACATAATATCAGGTTTAGGAAAAAATTAGTTTGTCTTTTTAGTTATAAACCAATTATTATATCTAGCCTTAAACCCCCATGTTCAACTCTTTTCTCTCTGTTATCTCCCATGTTAAACCAATCAGCAAATTCTGTGACCTCTCATCCTCCAGCGTTTCTCCCGTTCACCCCTCTTTTCCGAGTGATGCCAGCCTTGTTCAGACCCTGGGTAACTGTCCCCTAGATTATAACAATAACTTCTTAACCATTCTTCAGGCTTACACTCTCCCCCCTAGGGTCCATCCCAAGCACTGCTAACGGATTTGTCTTTCCAAAGAATTCCGCTGTACTGACAAGCCTTCAGTGGCCATTCCTTGTCTACAGCTGACTGTCCCCTGTGGCAGCCACTAGCCTCAGGCAGCTCTTGACCACTTGAAGTTAGTCAGGCTGAACTGAGATATGCAGTAAATGTAAAATACACATGGATTCTCAAGACTTAGTATGGAAAAAAAAGAATATGAACTATCTCGGTAATAATTTTCTGTCCACTGTTAGTTGAAATGATAGTATTTTAGATATGTTGGGTTAAATAAAATGTATTATTAAAATTAATCATTTAAACTTTTAAAAATGCGGCTACTGCGAAATTAAAATTATATACATGACTCCCATTATGTTTCTTTTGGGTAACCCTGGTATATAACTGGGAATGTGAGACTGCTTGGTACCAACTGCCCCTTCTGACCTTACCCTCACTGCCGATGCTCCAGCTTATAGTTAGGGAGAGAAGCAAGAGGGCTTTGACACTTGTTGAATATTTACTAAGCACCAGACATTCTTGCTTATTAAATCCCCTCTAAAACCGTAAGTTGGAATTTACAAATACGAAGATTGAGGCATAGAGCTGTTAAGAAACTTGACTATGTCATCAGACGGCTAGTAAGAGGAGAACCGGGACTTGAACCCAAGTCTAGGACACTACGAACTCCAAGTCCCCCATGAACTTCCTGTGCTTTTTTATCTTCTGTTCAAATTCCATTTCTGGGCTACTGCTACCTTTCCTGCTAACACACACGTTCAGATCTTGCTGTAGCATCCCGTCGCCAGCTGCATTTAATTTACATTATATATGGCAGATCCATTAGCCAGCCAGCCTAAGTTAAAAGTGCAAATTAAATAGGTCACGCAGTTCTGCCTTCCATGCCTCGCAGAAGTGGATGTGAGATGAAAGACAGGAGTCAGCTCTTCCTTAATCCGTATTCTCAGTCCCTAAACACCGCGTGGGCTGAGCCTTCCATACTCTGTGTGATCCTAGTGTTTAAAGAGACTTTCTTCCCAGCCCTGGCCGGTGTGGCTCAGCTGGTTGGGCATTTTCCCATGCACCGGAAGGTTGCCGGCTAGATTCCTAGTTAAGGCACATGCCCGGGCTGTGGGTTCAGTCCCCAGTGGGGGGTGTTCAGGAGACAACCGATTGATGTTTCACTCTCACATCAATGTTTCTTTCTCTCTCTCCTTCTTCCTTCTTCTCTCTGTAATAATCAATAGAAAATCTTTAAAAAAAAAAAAAAAGATACTTTTTTCCCATGTGACCTGGCCCCTAAACACAAGCCAAAGACACATTATCAGGTGCTCAGTTGGAGAAAGAGCAGACCCACCCTAGAGGAAAACCTCGCAGGGTGGCACACGCTGAGAGACTCTGTCCATCATAGCAGGGCAAATTCTTAACGAGCGCTAGGGATACTTTCACTGTATGTGCATTTCATCTTATACCTGATTTCGGTCCGAATGCCCACCTAATTATGACTCGGCTCAAAACTCCCCTCTTTTGTGGAGACTTTCCTGGTCCTCTAGTTCTGTGTTCTGTCTACTGTCTGGACTTACAGTTCTGCCACTCCCTACCTCATATTATAGGTAACCAGCTAGCACTTGCTTTTGCTTTTTAAGACGGGAAGCTCACTGAGAGCAGGATCTGTGTCTAGTTCTTTCTTGGGAGACCGCCCCAGCACACGGAATATACGCACAGCATATACCTGAATGGACAAACGGGTGGGCAGAGTGGCTGGAATCCCAGATTCATGTTGAACATATAAAGTCTTTATGTAAATGTTCTTTGCTAGCTCTTTATAACCACTCAGCAAATATTTACTGATTGCCTAGTGTGTACAGGGCTCTGCTGTAAAACAGTTGGAAAGGAGGGACACAACCAGGGGGGAAGTTGAGGAATTTCTTCAAAATTATTTTCTCTTAACCCCCCATTACAGGAGTGATTAATTGATTGATTGATATGTCGATGGGTAGATACAGATTTTATAGATGCAGGTTGATCTGTATATACAGGTATATCTTGTTATTGCTAACTTTTTCTAAATGGTTTTGGAGCTTTAGGTTATGGGTAAAAATGGTTGATTATAGGGAATACTGAAACATTAACTTATCCTTTCGTTGCAAATCTGTTTAATAACTGCAGCTTTTCCACTTTAGTGGCAGATAGAATTCATTATATACCAGGAGTTCTAATAACTGTCTCATGAATCTGGAAACTGATACCACACTTTCTGTTTCTGAAAGGACACAGTATGGTTTTAGTTCAAATTCTTGCTTTATCTTGCATAGCCGTACAGCATTCTGTACAGACCGCCAGTGAAGGACAGTGTTGGTAGTAATCCCAAATTCTTCATAGAAGCATCTATGGATGAGTTTCTGAACAGGATCGAGGTCACCCCCCACCCCCAAACCTCTGACTGATTTTCCAGGGTGCCTCCGATTCTGTCTTTGCAGGAGGAAGCTAACCTAAAGTAGCACCTAAACAAAGTGAATTTCGAATGACACCAGCAATCTACTATAAGTAAAATAGTCTCTGAACAAAAAAATAGTGGACACAATTCATTGTGTGGGCACAGGGGAGGAGGTGAGACATTGCCCCCATCTCAGCCATTTGACGTGGCTCTTTTCTGCAAAGCCCCTGTGCTGCTCATGGTCTTTGACAGCCAGCAAATGCAGGCCGCTGATGGGACACCGGCCAGAGACTAAGTGCCTGTGTCGCAGGCATTCCTAATTAAATCATGGTGAATCCATTTTTTTCTTGGAGTGCTTTGTATAGTTAATGTATGAGTAGAAAACCATTGTTCTGTCTAGAGCCCCACCTCCCTCTTTTGTCACATTGTGTGGAATTCTGCATGTTACACTACAAAGAGAATTAAATAAACTTGTTATCTGGACTATAGAGTTTATTATCTAAAACAGCAACACTGACATGGGAGCAGCTGAATAAAAAGAAATAGGCAGTCAGTATCTAAGTGACAAAATACATTTTGTCATCTGTAAGTAAACGGTAAGTATCTTAAAGGACACGTCGGGCAGAAACTAACAGTATGTGTCTGTTATGATATGGGCACTGTGGTAAGCACGTCACATAGGATCATAGCTCAAGCCCTTGGTTTTTCCATTATCCCCTCGGATGATGTCATCCACTTTGAGACATGATGAATAAATTGGACCTGGACACTTTAGTTCTTCCCAGGTGCCAAGCTTCTCGAAGGCAGGGACCACGTCTTCAATTTCTCTCATATTTTCCCCAGCATCTGGAACAGTGCTTGATTAATTGGTATTGAGCAATAATTTGCCAGCCAACTCAGAAGGATGCATGTCCTGTCTGGGCACTTGGGGGAGGGGGATGGTGTCTGTGATTGGCGTGTAGCATTCCCGGAAGGTTTATATAAGGGCTCAGGTGAAGCAGACCAGGCGTTCCAGAGTGTGCAGGGGGACATGCATGGCAAGCGTGCCTTGAACAGAGGGGTCGGGAGTCTAAACAGCAGTTGCAATGATTGAGGTTCATGGAATTAGGGTGATGTTTATTTTTTTATGCATTCAGTGGAAGGCGAGGGTGCTTAGATGTACAAGGAATATGGGATCATCTAGCAGCCTCTGCAAGGTGGTGTGGAGGGATGCTTTCGACAGTCCAGGAAGGGTTTGCGAGGATCAGGACTAGGGTGGAGGTTGTGCTAATAGAAAAGCTCAATTCAAGACACGGTAGAAAGGAAACATGGACTTCAGCACACCCATATAGACAAAGAAGGGTCAAAGATGACTCACAGTTTTCCTATTACTGTTACTGGGATTGACAGAGGTTGGAAGATATCCATGGCTTCTGGGCACTGAGGGCAGGAAGGTTGAATGCAGTAGAGTTGGGAGAAAAATCCACATGGCAGTGAAATTCCTTGTCCCCAAAGTCCCTTTAATGAGCGAAAAGATCACCTGGTATATATCTGTGATAGGATGTAAAAGTTTTCACAAAAGGACTCCTGGAAATTATATAGCAACTTAATTTTTATGGAAATTTGAAAAATGATAGAACTTCTTGCCAGCTTTTCTTTTCATTGGCAATTGAGTTACCACTGGAAGAAGTGATTTATAAGCCAGTGACTAAATGGGCTGCAGGATTCCTCATGAGTATCTAGTGTCTCCTGATTTACTTGTCACTGGAGTGACAAAACTTGCTGATACTTACTTGAACTAGATTACTAAGCAAACAAAATTAAGGCTTAAATTTATGAAATTAAGAGAAGTATATAGTATATGTATTTTTTCAATTTTCTTCTAATTTTATCCAGGTTGGGTTTCCTCAGACTTTAATTTCTACATTAGAAGGCCCATTGCTTGTTTATTTTTAAACTTTTTTTTTTTTTTTTTTTAAATATATCTTTATTGACTTCAGCGAGAGGAAAGGAGAGGGAGAGAGAGAGAGACAGAAACATCAATGATGAGAGAGTCATTGATCGGCTGCAGCCCACAACCCGGGCATGTGCCCTGATCGGGAATCGAACCCTGATCGCCTGGATCCTAGGTCGACGCTCAACCGCTGAGCCACGCCCGGCTGGGCCGCTTGTTTATTTTTAAAGCTGGACTAATTGATCTGTGACTTCAGAACAACTCAGTTCTGTGTGTTAAAAACCAAGCATTCAGAATACCACTGAGGCCAGAATGCCTCGATGAGGAAGTGTTTCTTAAATCTCAGTCACTGTCCATGTGACAGTGCTAGTGTGTTAACTCCAACTCTCAAATCAGAATTTCACACTTTCTCTTANCGTTAAATGTCCATGTGACAGTGCTAGTGTGTTAACTCCAACTCTCAAATCAGAATTTCACACTTTCTCTTAAAACACCAGAGGACCCTGCTCTAAGCATTCAAATTAAATTTGGCAGGAAACACCATTTGCTGTATGATGTCATTTTAAATTCTAAGTCGCAACGCGCACCCTTCCCTGGTTCTTCACCCGGTCCCTAAGCTCATTCCGTGTACAGGTGTTAGAGACCAAGGTTCCCTTTTCTGTTAGTGAGTGGGATCCTCTGATGACCTCAATTAGAGAGGGGACCAAAAAGGCTCACAAATCTAAAAACCACTCCATCATCCACGCAGAGGAGGTCAGTTTTTCTTTCCACTGTCCCAGCCGATATTTAAGTAAGCGGCGATCGATCAGCCTAATGCCTGGCGCTCGTTTTTCACAAATGAAGGGCTGTGGCTTTAAGTGATCGCTGGCTGCCTGTGCCAAAGGCACTGGCTGCAGGCAGCATCGGCTTCTGTGCGAGAGGCGGCTGAGGCAGACAGGAGCCTGCAGGGCGCGAAGTAAGGCGACCCGGGACCCGTGGCCCGCCTCCCGGTCGGGCTTTGAGTGTAGACGGACGGACGGACGGGTGGGTGGCCACCTGTGCCCTTCCTGGCCAGTGCAGGGGGCGGGGGGAGCTGGAGACAGAAGCTGGAAAATGGGCTGCTCCAGCGGCAAAATGTGCCTGTATTCTCCATGTGCAGCGACAAGGGTAATTAGTATTTGTTTCTAGTGCTTTTCTGGAAGAATGTCAGGGACCGAGGCAGCGGTTGTCTGGCATCCGGGGGAAATGCTTTAAATGACGAGTGACTCTCGCCTGCAAAGCCCGGGTCTCGTGATCTCTGCAACACCGGGATCCAGGTGCAGCGGGAGCTCCGTCTTGGCTGATCCTATGGGGGCCTTTTCCAGGAGCTGTGACTTCTGCCTTTTCCTTCCCTGCACCCTGGGGCAGGGGCTCTGCCTGATACGAAACGGTATCTAACTGCTGTATGTGTAAGTGTGTGTATGTGTGTGACTGCTGTGAGTTGCTGGTCACTGGGAAATTTGGGAGAGTGTTCTGTGTTTTTTGTGTTTTTTTTTTGCAAGATTGATCATTGCTTTGTTAATACTGAAACAGCTGCCTGGTTTTCTTTGATTCATTTCTCCGCACCTGCTCAGAATTATAGCTGATTCAAAATATTAGAATCTTCCGAAAATAATGCGTAACTAAGTAAAATCTATTTAGTTTTGTCTTTAAAGGATTATTTTTTCGCCTTAGTTTTCTAACAAACTTTGTGTCTCCGTTTTAGAAGGAAAGGATTGTTAACAAACTTTTTATTTTTATTTGCAAATATAGGACAAAGTGCATACAAGTGCATATGTTGAGAACATTAAATATTTATCTTAGACTGATTAGGTCTTTATTGCCCTTGGAGGAGGAGACTGCATTACGTCTTCAGTACAGTATGCGTCTGCTGAAAGGTTCTGCAGATCAGTGAGGCTCGGCTCAAAGTAAACATTTTCTAGTGCCTCCGATGAAAGTTTCACGAGGCCCTGAGAAAATACAGATTTCTTTGAAACACGAATTTCCTTAACAACGAAGGGACATCTGTGTTTTTGTACAACACAAACTGTTAGCCTAGATGATTCATATCTCTGTTGCTCGATTCTGGGTCTCGTTTTTCTGGCGATAACGAATGTGTGCCTCCCTGAAAGGGACCCTCTTTACAACGCCAGTAACTTGATGTTTGTTTTCCGCAGCGGGAGGAAGCCCTGAAACAACACAAAACCCTATCTCAAGAACTCGTTAACCTCCGGGGAGAGCTGGGTAAGAGCTTTTCTCTTGTTAAGTTTTACGGGGCCAGGGGCAGATTGGACAGTTTGGTCTGCCTGTGTGCACTGTGGCCGGAGGTGCACGCTAGCAGCTGGTAGCTGTCCCCACTCTGCTGTATCTGGGCAAACACTTACTATCGACATTTCTCTTGGATCTTGGCAGCTTGACCTCAAGTTCGCAGAATTCCTGGCAGTCATCTGACTAGGCCTAGCAGCGCTGCTGATGACCAAACCCCCCTCTTCCTGAAGAGAGGGACAGAGTGATTTCTGTAATCGTGTGGATTCCTGTTCAATAATTCGCCTTATTTTTCCCCGAACCACTTTTCATATTGAAGAGTGGTGAGAAAATTCCCTCTCTGATAACATTGATTACGTCACAGTTCCCTGGGGGGGGGTGAGTAGCGAGTATAGTAAGAAGGATGCTGCGTACAGGGGTCGCCCGTCTAGGGAAGGCTCGTTTCTGTGCTGATCTTTCTGTTTGAATGGGGTTGATGGTGAATCAGGATCCGGCTCCACCGGCAGGCGTGCGCCTCCTTGGCCTCGGGAGCGCTCACCACCCGACTCCGCTGCTCCAGGCCGGCCTCTGTTTTAGCTTTTGCCCCTCCTGGAAGTGTCCTCGGGGTTCACGCGGCGGAGACAATTCTGCCTTCCCTACCTCCGCCCCCGAGTGGGAGTGGGCTGGCTGCCTCAGGGCCCCCTGTGTGCTGTGGGCACCCCAGCCCCAGAGAACCCGCTTTCCACTTTAGCTCCAGCCACATCTGGGGATGTTCACTGAAAGGCTGGATTCCTGGCCCTTTGCAGTTCTCTGCGTGTGCTGACCTCCCCACATCAAGTGCGTGTAGGCATGTGTGTAGATAGTGCAAAGGCAACAGCCAGAGACGGAAACTGTGTTCACCTAGTTCCAGGAGAAACTGCTCGTCGTTCTTGGGCTAAGACCAGAGCCTAAGCATTGTCAGTACAATGTGCTGGACTCGAACACGCTTTTTTCCCCCAGGGTAAGATCAAATAGCGGTAAGTGTGGGGTCAAGTCTGCTCTTTGCATTTCGCTTCTCTGTTCACCTCTCAGCGGGGACAGTGCCGAACTCCTGGGGAACCCTCCAGTTTCTTAATACCCAGCCAGGGCACCCGTCTGTCCTGACCTTCATCTGGGCTATGGAAATGAAGGACTCTGTGTGGAAAAGTAATCGTAAGACAGATGGAACTTCAGGACCCCAAAGACTCGAGAGTTTTAGGGAAACAGATCAAGAAAAGCACAGCTGAGAAACAATTCTTAGAGGCCTTTCGGGCTTTCTGCCATGTTACTTAACCAGACTTCTGCTCTTTAGATTACCCAGATGACCAGCTTAATCTGCTTTTCTCTGTGTCTTAAGTAATGTAATGGCTCTAGAGTTAGGAGATCAGGCAAGAGGCCCTTTTTGTGTGTTTCATTCATTATACCCCAGTGGAGGCGGAGATGGGCCGCCTCCCTGCTGGTTCATGTTTCAGTTTCTCCCGGAGAGGAGGCAGAAGTGCTGATGGAACACTGCTCTCATTCACTCGGTTTGAATGGGGCATCCTCCTGTCACCTCTTAGTGGAGAGCACAATTGATTTGAATTGGGACCCAGGTACTCAGTACCTCCAGCTTAGTCACAGCCTGACAGGAAATAGCCCTGACAGTTTGTCCCCACTCTCAGCTTTCCGTCTGTGATAAGGAGCGTTCTCTCTGGTGTCCTTTACTGCGGTTATCACAGTGTCGAGATGCAATGGTTGGCCGGTCTGTATCACTCGGTCACCCAAGGCCAGACTCAGAGAATGGCATTGCTGCCTCTGAATCAGGTTGAATTGCTCAGGTAACAGCGTAAAGCATTTGGGGAAGGGTTTTGATTCTGTGAGGGGACAGAATAGAAGCCTTTAAAAAGTTCTTCTGGTGAAAGAGTCCAGGAAAGATGTTCCCGAAGCTGCCAGGTTGACTCTAGCATCAACTGAGGAAGAAACAGGTTTATACAGCAAAGTTTAAAGCTCCGTTTTAAAATTGGAGGCAATAGTGCAGAGTGGTTAGACCGTTAATTATCACACTGTGCAGGTTCAACTCCTTGGTAGCTGGGAGGCCTAGGGCAAGTCACATGACATGTCTTCTGTCCCTGCCTCATCCCCTGTAAAAGGGCTGTCCCGTGTGTCTGCCTCAAGGGTGGTCATGAGGATTACACAAGGTAACACACTGTAAAATATTTAGCACCAAGTGTGAACTGCTATTAAACACGTAGTAGGTATTCAGATGTGTGCGGTTTGCAGCTGTGTGGTCATTAACCGCATCTGCTGTTTTGTGAGATCATAGGCTGTACTGCAGAAAGGAGTATGACTTAGGCCAACTGTTAGATTTCGCTCAGGACAGGCTTTTCCTTTCCCACTCCAATGGAAGTGAGGCGTGACCGATCCCTGCCCCCTACAGAAGTAAGTGCATGGGGTGTGGAGCACAGTCTTGGGTTTCATCCATCCACTTCCAGTTACAAGTTACCTAATTTCTCTGAGTACAGTTTCCTCACTGGGGATGTGCAGTTCTTATGTATTTTGCTGGGTTGTTGGGAAGCTGGCATTAAATGGTGATATGTATGAAGTACCTGGCATAGGGCCTGGTCCATCACGGGGAAGAGGGAGGGAGCTGCCTCTGTCACCGTCACCCAAGTATCCACCTATTCTCTCCAGAATAATGGAGGGGCCATTGGTGCCTCTCTCCCTTTGGGTCATTTTTGCTTACGTTCGCTATGAAAATTGAGGCAAGGTTCCCACACTGCTAAGAATGGCCAAGAATAAAGGACAGCCCCTGAGTGTGGAGCACTGGAGCCCAAACAGAGTCTGCACTCCTGACCTTCAGAAACTACCTCGTCCCCTCCACTGACCAACGTTCCTATTGTCATCTCACTCATTGCCAGGTTAACCCAG